CTGCCATACTTCTCAACTTCTAGCAAAATCCCAGGCAGGCCATGGGACATCTGATAGGCATCACACACAGCAATGCAATTTTTCATATTCAGTAATATTGAATATTAATTGCTGCAATTAGTTGAGTACAAAAAGTAAGGAAATCCATCCCATCATGTATCAGATTTTTACTTTATTTGGTAGAACTCTGTATGACATTTGTATGGGAAGAATACAATCCAGCAATTTCTTGTGTTTTAATGTATAGTGGAGTGAGTTTTGTTAATTTCAAATGCACAAATTTATGTTACAACTGTAAACTCTTTTTGTTAGTTCATGGTTTCACCTTTAGGCGCCCCCTTGTTTAAATGCTAATGGAGACCAATGAATTGCAGAACTGCATTGTCGAAGACAATTTTATGTTGGATCTATGTATACTGATTCTGCTCATATTCTTTTTTCAGCGGTCAAAACTATTAGCTGGTATTTTTGGTGAAACCAATCAAAGTGAACTAGCTGCATTCATGTCATATGCTTTGGCATTTCCCAACAACTTTCTGGCCTTAGTTGACACATATGATGTAAGTGGCATTTTTTAGTTTCTTCTTGCTATCTCTCTCTCTCTCTCTTTCTCTCAGTGCACAGAGTTGCTCATCGTGGGTCGTGCCATTTCTTATGTATGCATAATCTACTGTATTTTTCAAACCTGATATTTTGGGTCTAACTTCTACGCTTCTTGTTGCATGTGTTCTAGTTTACATATATGCATAACTCTGATTTTTCTAGGAATATATTTCACTAGTCCTAGGGCCGGTTATTGAGCACAGTTTGGATTACTTAAAGCTATTATACTGCAAATTTATGGGCTTCTAAGGTGCTATAGTTTGTGGATTATTTGTCTAGCTTCAAATCAGTGGTCTCTTATCTATTCATTTTTTTTTAAATTTCTAATCAGTATATCCATGTTTTTCAGGTAGTCAGAAGTGGCATTCCCAATTTTTGTGCAGTTGCTCTGGCCCTAAATGATCTGGGGTACGTCCTAAAGGGTTATTAACACTGTCCTCTTATGATGAGAACTGCTGTTTATTTTAAGAATGGCGTGGAATTTTGGGAACAACCATGATTGGACCAGTTTATTTTGCGGTTGCTAGGGATGAAATATTTATTTTACAATATTGTGAGGCCAAGCTTCTAATTCTGTATTTAAACTAAATGAGAAATGCTCTTATGAAATATATATGCAATGGTGAAACAAAAGTTCACAAGGTTTACTCTATGGTTCTGTGGCCAGTGAAGATAACGTAAATGCTCTTATGGAAAATACATAGCTGAGGGTATCCAATGGATGATGAGGTCAAAGGGATGTCTCGGCTTAATTCTAACTTTTCCTGGGTAGACATGCTTTCTTTTCATTTTAATTAGTTGCATTTGTACAAGAGGTACAAGGAATTGGGTAATTTGATCTTTGATTTGTATCTGATGTAATTCAGGAAGTTATTTTGTATCAAATAGGTTGCCCTACTAAATAAATAAAACAAACTATAAAATACCATAGTAGAATAAAATTACAAGAAACTGGATTTATGTGCTGAACAATATAAGCTAATTCACTATCGAAACCTTCAATTATCCAAAGAATAACATTTGCAAGCTTAGCTGAAGTGTTGATTTGTTGATTTTACTTGATAGATCCACTTTGCATTGGGTTTTTCTGCCAGGACTTCGTTATATTTTATGGTGATATTATGTTCTTGGTTTACTAAAATGATATTTTGCAGGTATAAGGCACAAGGGATTAGATTAGACTCCGGTGATCTTGCATACCTGTCGTGTGAGGCTAGAAAGTTCTTTCATTCTATTGAAACGGAATTTGGAGTCCCTGATTTTGGAAGGACGAGCATCACAGCCAGTAATGATCTCAATGAGGAAACATTAGATGATTTGAACAAGCAGGTGAGTTCTTTAGAAATTAGATGTTTATGATGTATTCATGGAACTCCTGGTCATGTTTTGGTTAACTCAACACATCAGCTTTAATTTTCTCTCTGCCTTCTGATCAATATTGCATTGTCTTGTGGAATGCATTAGAATGACACTCTGGTGCTAAGCTGGTTTTCCATCTGATTATAGATATGTGGAAGAGTATCTTTGGCTTGTTTACCCCCATTAAAAGGGGCCAACTGCTGGCCTTGTAGAGGTGGCAATATGTGATTAAATACATAATTTATTTGTCTTTGTTTGTTGTGTATGAGGATTAGGTTTGAAATCAATTTTGGCCTGTAATGAGAAAATTTGCAGTTATGCGAATGCATGATGTGCAGTTTTACAACCAAATTATTCTGTTACCATATTATGCGATGTGCATTTATGATGGAAGATGAAAATCAATTGATTGTCAGTTGAGTCCTATGTGACTTCTCTGGTCTCAGTTACCAAGAGCACTGAGTTTTATTTCATTTAAGGAAAATTTGGTTGCATTAATTGATTTTTTCTTGCACAGGGTCATGAGGTTGATGCTTTTGGAATTGGAACTCATTTGGTTACATGCTATGCTCAACCTGCCCTAGGTGTTGTCTTCAAGCTTGTTGAAATAAATAACCAGCCCCGTATTAAACTTTCTGAAGATGTTTCAAAGGTTGATCTGGTTGTTTCCTAGTTTTTTGGGTATTTTTGTTCTACACTTTGGAAGCTTATGAATTTTGGGCTTTAGGTCTCTATTCCGTGTAAAAAACGGTGTTACAGATTGTATGGGAAGGAAGGTTATCCTCTTGTAGATATAATGACTGGGGAAAATGAGCCGTCTCCAAAGGTATGTATGTATTTAAGGACTTCTTTTTGGTGCTTCTTTTGGATGTTCTAACATATTACTAACAGATAGTCCTTCATAAGCTTTCTTGCATATTAGTTTCGTCTACTTATCTGCTATGCTGTTTATCTAGTTACACAAGACTAGGCCCTCCCCCCTTATTGATGTAACCTAGTTGTTCGTCCTGTTATCGACTGTTTAAGCAAATATAGTTGTTTTTTATTGGTTTTAGAGAGACAGAATTATAATCTGATGATAACTTTATTAGTTTCTGATTAAGACAAAGCGAACTGACTTTCGCTATATACATGGTCATCTAGGCTTCTATATCGAATCAAGTGATTAACTAGGTCTTGGTATAGATCTTATCTTGAACTTGCAAGTCGTAATGGGCAACATAAATCATTCAGTGTATTGCATTTCTTCCCAGGGATTAAGATTCGTTCTGGCTGTATTGAATTAGAAGTAAATGAAGAGGCTGGCTTTTATCAGAGTTATGGTGTCAACCTTAGTCCAATAAAAAAGTTTGTTTATGGAGAAAGGATAATAGAGACACAAGCCAATATATGGAAATAAGCAATGGATTTATCGTGTGTGTGTTCATGCTGCCTGTGGATTGCTGAATTCCTTGTGTATGACAGTACTCTTTGATCTTTTATGCTGATTTACTGATGCCATTCTCAGGTAGGTGAGCGGATTTTGTGTCGCCATCCATTTAATGAGTCAAAACGAGCATATGTGGTTCCGCAGAAGGTTGAGGAACTTCTAAAGTGCTATTGGTCGGGTAGTTCAGGTGAATTGTGATCTCTTAGTTTGCAAAATCTGAATTTCCGGTCATGGTTCAGTGCATATCTTAGTAACTGCAATCTGTGAGAGATCAGGAAAAGTATGTGAATGCATGAGTATCTATTTTTTGCTCTTCCTTTGGGGTGGTGGCATAAAGTCATTTGTGCATCGTACTTTTTCCAAGTAATGGTTAGTTATATCATGGCTTTGGTTTTGGTAGGTTTGTAGCATTTAGTGCACCACCTGCATTAAGTGGGTGACAGACTGCAGAAGCCTAACTAGAATTGAATATTTAGGAATGAAGCCCAATTAGCAGTTAACTGGTTATATTCAATTGCATGTAACCTGGCTATCACGTGCTCAAACTTGTGTATTTTCGGGAAAGTGGAATGTACGTAGCCTCTGTTCTCTCATGCTTGGGGGACTACAAGGTATTTGGAAGCTTTAGGCGTATGGCTACCTGTTTTGGATTTTATAAAATGAGAGCACGTCATAATAAATTTTCATATCCCGGTTAATAAGGATAAAGAGCACATAGAATGGAAATGAGAGGATATTTAAAGCACCATTTATTCCTTTCTGAATATTATCCTTCGATTTGCTGTTGTCGAGCTACTTTTGACTATAGTCATAGTCTGTTCGAATGCTCCCTTGGATAATTTAATTATATGTGAAACTTATTCGCTATTTTCATGGATTTGCAATTCCTGTAGATAGAAGAAGAGAGGAGTTACCACCCATCAAAGAGATAAGGGACCGCTGTATTGACCAACTGGACCGGATGCGTCCTGATCACATGAGAAGGTTGAACCCAACACCTTACAAGGTATCATATAAAGCTATATTTACACCCTGACAGACTATGTTTATTTATTATCATATGGGCTTTTGTGATTGGTAAAAATGAAATTTGATAATCTAATATTATTATCGTTAATGATATTTACTTGGCAGGTTAGTGTAAGTGCAAAGTTATATGACTTCATTCATTTTCTCTGGCTCAATGAAGCACCCGTTGGAGAATTGCAATGAGAGCCAAACCTTGCCACCCTTATAGGCTGTTCGGTTCCCCAACCGTGTATCAGAGATTTTTACGTGGTTAATTGCAAGGCACCTGTTGGTTTTAGGATTTAACACGCATACACCCTCCCCCTCTGTACCCAGCTTCACATGGTAGTTCAATTTGATCACTTGTAATTTGTACAAAACATTTATAGGTAACATATACAAGGTTAATTGGGAAAACAAAATTGGGAGTGGTAAATGTACCAGGCAGACAAGCTAGATATGCATTCTTAGCAAGCTTGATGCCGTTAGCCCTTGTTAAAATCAGCAACTTTTGATTTGCTAATACTGTGTTATCATCTGAGAAAGATTTTCCCGATATCTTTCCAAAGACATTGCAGCAAAAAGCATCAAGATCCTCTTCTTTTTTTTTTCCTGCCAATCGGCAAACAAAGTATTATAGTCCTACTTGGCTGTCTTGGGACATCGTTGCCCGACTGCTCCACTGACAGCATGTGGCAATACTGAGACCAGTTGATATTAAAGTACCCGAGATTACACGACACTATTTCTTCACTCCCAAACTTTTGTCCATTTGAATTTTCAGATTGACTATATACATAGGTTGGATCGAGGGAATTACGCTCGTGCAAGCCCCAAACCATAAAGATACTATTAAGCATTTATAACTCGATAGTGCAAACATGCATCATATTGATACAGCTAAGCTTTCCATCTGTACCCACCCATAGGCACACCTGTCACGGAGGCTCTGCGCCGTTGACGCTGCCAATTCAACTAAAGGCCGCACTACAGCAAGCTCTTTTTCAAGTTGGTTTTTCATACCAGCTTCAATCTACAATTTCAAAACGAGAACGCTTAGTTATTTCTTTGAACGAATCTTACAGTATCATTGTCAATTTTTCTATTAAAGTAATAGTTAATATTAAAAAGTCAAATTCAATTTAAAAAATTGATAAATTTATCTTTTGACTACTTTTTTTCCTAAATGCAAAAGACCAAAAAATAAAAATAAAAAATAGATACCAAAAGTTAGAAAACATCATCTTTAAAGGTTATAAATATCAATATAGGTTTTTAAACAAAAAGAGAAAGAAAAGGGAAAAAAAAGAAAAAGCAATAGTGAAGAGGAGAACTTGTCAATTTATTAATTTGATTTTGACATTTTAATATTGATCATTGGTTTTAATCAAACTATGACGAGGTTATATATAAATTTTTAAACCATAAAGAAGTTAAGTAGCAAATCACTAACCCATTCAAGAGGGTTAAAGGTAACTTATCCTATTTCTTTTACTACCATGAGCAAACAGTACTAAAAAAAAAAAACAAGAATTTGTTCCTCAATACGTGGTATATACTAATAGAGAAAGGAGTGAACTGAGAAGGACAATAACCTTATCAACGCAACGAACAGTATCCAGAATGTGGCAGAAATAGGCAAGCTGCTTGTATAGATCAGCTTCCGAGTACTAGGAAAAATAAATAAATAAACGAATAAAAAGTTCTCATTGGTGAGTTTACTGCAAGATTTTGTTTCAAGAGAAATAGAGCGGGAAGGAGGGGAGAAGAACCTTTCTTAGGAGACGCCCATTACAGCGAGGATAATTAGGACAAACAGTTCCCCGGTCGCAGTCACCAATTAGCCGCAGATTCAAACTACGAGTAGTGTACTTGCAAGTTTCATCATCACACTGAAAATCATTTTCATCACACATTTCTGTTAAACAATTCTAACTATAAGTAGACCATAATCCAATTATATTAGGACTGTTATGGGAATACATACCATCATCCAGCTCTGATAGTATGCCAAGATGAAACCTTCCGCTTGCTTTTTAACCTGTCAAATATCAGGCAGGGTACGTCACTGATCTACATATGATAACATAAAGCCACCAAACCCAACCGTGTAGTTTTACTGCAACCATACTTTTGTATTTTTTTCCCTTCGAGTACTTTTATTCTTTAGACCGTAGAGCAACCAGAAACCAGTTAAAGGCTCAAATTCAAACCATGTAAATTGAACAAGAGAAGCTCCAAAATTGAAAAACTGCAGAGAATTACCTGATTTGCTATCATTGCAGGAGATATTCTCCCCTGATCACCTTCTACAGAGCACAATTGACAACGTAATTTGAGCCAGAAATTCCCGGGTGCTTGCGAATCTGCTGGCTTCTGACTAATTAACGAACATAGGGAACTGAATAGAGGTGGGCAGTCAAAGGAACTGGAACAGCTTGGACATGACAAAACTAATGGCTCACAACCTCGATATCTGCAATTATCAAAGGCATACATTTGGTGTATTTTTGGTGGTCCATCTCAAGGTAATTCCACTTATATACATAATAACACTAGTAAATAAAACTGGAAAAAATTAGCTTCTAAGAAAACTCAGATTAAAATGCTAACGATCCATATTGGGAAATATGGCTCCTTGGGAGTCGGCAAGTCAACAAGAATTTAAGTCTAGAGTACATTTCCTCATAAGTTAGGAAATGCCTTTCCTTAGACAGGGCAATTCTCCATCTAAATCAAAATTTAAGAGTATTATCAACACTTCGTGGCTAACAGAATGATTACCTCTCCTCATCGTCACCTACACATAAAAGCAGGCTTGAAGAATCGCTGCTACCAGCTTCATTTGTTTTACTTTGGAACTGAAAGAATCAGATTGTTTTAGTTCCAGTTGCAGATTCTACAACACAAAAAAAAAAACCTACATTAAAAGTTCAAAGCAAATGTTACTTTACCTTAGATGAGTCAAGCCCTAAACAATCAGCCAAACGTGCTGGACTCGTACCCTGAATTGGAGCACAAAGACGTGAAACCACAGGATGAATCTGCAATGTCAACGAAAACACTTAAGCAATTAGAAAACCTGAACCATGTACTTTTTTATTTATAATCAACAGCACTAGTTGTCACTGGTCATATAAAGTTGATGAAATACCTGTTGCGCCAAATAATAATCAATGTCAATTATCCATTTCCCGTCGCCTTTCTTCACCTCATCAGGATGCCTTGCTCGCTGAGCAATCCCCGAGCCACTTGAGCTAATCCCCTACCACACCATATGAAGGGGAGATTTTAACACAAGGAATTGGGATGGAAGTAGTTGGAGTTGAAGGAAAACATCAGATAAAGAATGATAAATATATAAGCAAAACACGGACCTGCTCACGGCAGATGATATAAGGTACCGTATCTCCAGCAGAGCAACCAGTCACATAACCATTTCTCCTCAATCTAAGGGCAACCTGGAAAACAGACAACCACATCCATGCATGAATAATTAGTGCAATTAATTCAACAAACTCCAAAATGAAACTTTGAGATGGTTTAGAATGAAAAGGTTTTTGTTTTGTAGAAGACAAGACAAAAAGTGGGTCTATGAACGAACTTCAACATGGGGTTGACTTTTTGCATCAGGGTAAGCTTCTGGTGCTTTTGTCAATGTCTTTGTGATAATGTATTTTTCGAGTTCTATTTGTCCCCTTCTCATATCATCTTGAATCTGCAGAAAAATATATAAGCTCCATCAAAAAGGATTTTCAGACCATTAGGCATTTTTCCACACGAGGTCAATTAACAGTTCACCACATTATCAATGCCAATTAATTGAGTTAATTTCAAGCTGATTCAAGTCGTTAAAAGTTGAAATCAAATGTCAAAAGACAAAAACACAAGTGATAGTAGGATGAAGCATGAGTAATGTGCAATGACATTAGTAACAAAATTTTGAAAAGAGACTGCCTCCTTTACGAAGTCTGCTTTTAGCTGCCAATGAAATTTCAACATATTCTAGCTAAGTTGAGCTTGTCCACTCAAAATCTTGTTAGCATGTAGCAACTGTAATATTGATTATCTGTTACTGCTTTGTAACCAGGACCATCTACATACACTGATGAGCTTTCTGTGGGTTTCAGAATATTACCTTAACAAGGGAGTCGTGTATTGATTCAACAACATCCTCACAAGACCTACCAAAGCTCACCCCGTAAGTTTGACAGAGTCTCAGATCACATCTAACAACGATAAAGATTATAGCACAAAGACAATCAGTACAAAGAGTATACCCGCCAGATAATATTTGACTCAGACAGAAATCTCCCAATTCCTTCGACAGTAAGCTCCAGTCTCTCCGAACCATATCAAGACCTTTCCGTTCGATGACCTTCAATAAAGTGGATAGATTCATTGATATGCAACTATTGCAGAGTCCTATGTTGTCCAGCAAAATACATTTCCAAAATGTACCTCATTAGGCGTTCCATCTTTAAACTGCACTTTAATTGCTGCATACTTCTTTTTCTTAAGCAGCAACATTTTTTTGTACAGACCATCAAGATCAATTTCTAAGCATCTATACTTCTTGTTGACCTATGAAAAGAAACCATTAGTAATTTTAAATATCTGTATTACAACAGAGACATGCACTTCTCAATCCCTGAAGATAAACCCAAACTTGTATTGTGCTAGGAGGAAAAAAAAAACAAATCAAATTTCCTAGCTTTCTAATTTTTCTGAGCCGCATACCATTTTCTGATGTCCTAGCTTTCTAATTTTTCTGAGTCGCCTACCATTTTCTGATGCCAAAAACAGCATTCTTTTCTGGTTGAACTATTGTCAAAATGTACTAAGTGATTAATTTAAATGAAATGCAACAAAAGACAAAAAGAGGCAAAAATTTAGCCTCAGTAGGTCAGTGAAATTCTTTAGATGATTTACCAAAAGAATGAGCAAACAATCAACCCTACCTCTTGAATCACCTTTCCTGCGATTGCTTTTGCTTTTCCAATATCATCAAGCCCAGTATAAATCATAATGGAATCTGTGTCCCCATAAATGACCTGCCAGACAAAAAGAACACCGTACCAGTCAATGTAACATCTTAAACATGGAAAATCTGCAGACATACGGACACTCCATTCACTAGTCCAAAATGAAATGAAAGAAGCGACCTCCAAGTTTAAAATATTCTGAACAAGGTCAACCGTACTCTGTAAAATCTCCCTTCCCTTCACAACAATGAAAATTTTGTCAAAAATACATCCAGCCTATCATTTAATGAGAATTGCATTCTTTTAACTTGCATCCAGAAAGAAACTACTGACCTGCAAGGTTATAAGCTCAGCAAGTGGCTTTGCATAAAACCTGGAATTTGAGAATCCGAGGCATCCATACATGCTAATAGCCATCCAACCAAAGGACAGAACAGCACATCAGTTTTAAAATTGAAAAAAAAAATTAGTAAAAAAGTTAAGGTTGCTAAGGAAAACAAGATGTCTGAATAGAAAACCTGTTTGCTGTTAGCTTTAGTGCTTGTTGCTGTATGTCAAGTTGCTGGGCCTTCAGACCTGAGGCTGTTTTCAACCATGATTTCACCATTCTTCGTCTTTCCACCAGATTTTTTAGCAACTACAGAACATATGTCAATATCATTATAAGTAGCATGCCAGTATTTAGGGAACAAGTAACTTAATGCAGCATACTGAGGTATGCATTGATATCTATGAATGTAAAGAGATAAATCCAATATATGGAATCATAAAGAGGGAAATCATAGTGCACAAAGCTCCAACAGATAAGTATATGCACAGAGAGGCTATTCATCGAGCTGAAACCATGATTTTCCTTTTCACAAGGACAAGGGCAAACAGGAATGGGTTTTCAGAAAGCAATTTTCTTATACTGCTCAATGAAACTCAAAACAAAACCAACAATAAATAAACTTAATTGGACCAATTAAATTCAACCATACAAAAGAAAAACTTCACAAATTAAGTTTAAGCTTACCTCTGGTAGAACTCCAGTCCTCCTACTAGATGGTAAATGGGATACTGATCCATCTGAAAATCTGTCAACAGTTGTGAAACAGATATTGTACTCCTGCAAAAGAGTGATCAGCACAGCATGTTATGTGAGATATGCCCAAAATGAAATTAGTCCAACTAGAAGATGACCAAGAAGAAAACAGGAATGGGATGACAATCTAGACATAGAATAAGATACTAGAAGTAGCAAGAAGAGAGCAGTAGGCATATAGATTACCTGAATAATTGACGGATAGAGACTATTGAAGTCCAGGAGCAATATATACTTGTCATATAGACCTTTTTTTGGCTCCAAAACCAAACCACCAGCATAAGCAGGTCCTTTTTTGGTTTTCCCATTATCATTCCTGGGAATTTCATCAAAATTTATCTCATCAAACGTATAATCATTTTCTTTGCTGTCAACATCTTGGTCAATTTTCCGCTTTGTCATTTTTGTTTCCTTAGCCTGATAGGATAACTTATCCGGAAGAATGAACTTCTTTGCATGGAATGCATGTAACAATAAATATTCTACTCTTTGGGCCCTAGCACCCTGAAAGCAAGCACACTCAATGTTATACTAGAAATACAAAAGCTGATCATGTGGAAAAGTTAATTGCCAAAAACATAAGAAAAGTAATCACCTGCAGAGTTTTTCCCCAAAGGTTGCCACTTATATTAGTCAGTTGACGGGTTAGGGGAAGAACACTCAGATGAAACATGAGCTCCATCGACAACCATGAATCTGTTTCACCATATTCTATCTGAAGAAAATAGTTCATCTTCAGAGAGATATCATGTGTACTTGTTAAACAGAAAAATAGTCTTTGTTAACGTGACAGAAATTTTTAAGTATTTGACTACTTTTACCAGAAAAAAGACCAGTGACAGGAATAAAAGAACTAAAAACAGCTGCAATGATGGCTATATCTCAAATGCTTAATCAATCATCGTAAGTGACTTAAGAGTCATGATCTCTTTCATCAGAGGATCCAAATGAGACATGATTGCTTTGGGTTATAAAGTGGAGAACTGGGTCAATAGTGACCCAATATCAGTTAGTAGATTTGCATTTCTTCATTTTCTTTGTCTTGGGCTAAAGGTCTAAAATAGCATGAAAAGATGTATCTTCACACTGTTATACTGACCAAGAACGATGACTAACAAAACGGATGCATTTAAATAAAGAACCTACAAGTTCCATGAGCGATTCTGAATTCTGAAACATTTGAGGAATATCCTGCGGAGCAATCTCCTTGCGGTCTTTGTTAAGCTGAGTCTTTGCAAGTTGTGTCAAGGAATAACTAACCTGGAGAAGCAAAATCCACATGTAATTTAACAGTATCAGCATCATCAAGTGCATTGACAGTATAATATTGCAGCATACCACCTTACCTCCTTTAGTAAATCACGCGAACTAAGATAGGTGTCACACAAGAGCCGCCCTGCAATACAGGACATCATTCCAGTACTTGCTCCTGAGCCAAAAATATTATTTCCTTTGCTGAGTTTAGGCATGACTGAACGCTTGAGACGGCCAACTTTAGACCACATACTGCTGGGTACTTTGCAAGCCTGCATATAACATTATGTGTACGTCTTATGGTTGTTAGTGCCTTTCTTTGCTCACAGCATAAGAAGAATCAAATGATTGGTAAAAGCCAGTAAACATGAAAAGATAGGTGAATGACAAGGACCTGAAATCTGTGAAGAAGAACATCCAGGTCAAACCCAGAGATGTTGTGCCCGACAAGAACATCACTATCCAATTTGTGTAACTCAATCATCAGACGATTTAATAGAGCTCTTTCACTGAAATATTGAACATAGAAATAGCAGCAGAAAGATATAGTAAGATTACCAAGAAATGAAAGCTTAAAGAGGAAATGATTAATGTTTAATAGTAAACACAAGTAGATCAGAACATGCCTGCTCTCACAACTGATGACATTGAATCCAGCTTTTATATTTCTTTCAGCTGCCTCTTTGGTGAATCCCATTGGAAATATGGCCCCCTCAATTTTACGGATAACAGTAAAATGACTAAGCATGCCTGGCCTGGCCCATTCTGACGCTAACATTGGAGCATCTATCTGAAAAGTTCATCATGCAATTGGTATGTGTCTTTAATATCAGACTAGACACTGGCCTACAGGAAACAATGCTCAGTAAAACATATTTCCTGCTGTCATATTTCATAAACTAAATGTGGAAAAAGACTAAGACATCAACTTGGAAAGAATGAACATGCAACTATGAGCTCCACTAGTTGCAGGCATAGGGTGGAGAGAGAGTTCACCAATTGGTTGAGCACCACCTGTCTATGCTAAAGTATACCACATTATTATTCATTCCAGTAACAAGATGGATCAACCTCCAATTCCAATAATGCTGTAATATCAAAAAATAAGCTCCTTCTGAATGTACCTTTGCCTTGTGACAGCAGATGACAGATGCAGAAACAATTTCATTGAGATTTTGTTTCTCATTGGTGATTGTTTTCAGATTTATTGCCGTGACTACTACAGGAGGAATCTCAACAATATTCTTTGAAGATGTTAAGACTTGAATATCCTTCGGAGAGTCAACAAAAACCTCAAACTTGCACCAGCTCACTCGTTGGGGCACTGGACGGCTAGAAAATTTTGAAATCGATAGCCATGAAGGTCCTTTTATTTTCCTTTTAACAAGAAAAGTTTCCAAGGCACTGCAGAAAGAAGATGGTGATAAGCGAATCTTTTACACAGAGAAATGGTATGCACTCTTAGGTTGATGTCTCACAGAACAAAGTGAATGACAGACATTGAGACTCAAAATCCAGAGTGTGGCCTTTCTTGAAGTAGATTGAACAAGACTAAGAGAAGCACATGAGACCTATTTGCAGCATTACCTCGAATGAGTTCCAAGTAAAGCACAGAAATTTTCTCCCCTAATATCTGATGGAAGTGGTGGGTCCTGTAAGCATATATCCAACATCCAGTAATAATGACCAATATTAAGCATATTAAAGGCTGCATCTATGGGCACCAAAATTCCAAATACAGTAAATTTAAGAAAGGTATTGTTCTAAGTGGCTAAATTAACACAAGCTAAATACCTTATATGGATAGCTGATCTTTAATACATAGTTCTTGCCTCGAGGTATGTCAGATCGCTCGAATGCATAATTCCTCTGCAAAGACAGTAAAATATCAGGCTGACTAGGAAACTGGCACTAGTATGTAACACGAAAAACTAGATAATTTTTGGCAAAACAAACAAAGATTGGCTTGACTATTTTGATGCATTGAATAAATAAATCTCAAACCTTAACAGGTGTCATACTAAAACATGAAACATTACGTTCCAGCAAGTGGTTACTCATTTCAGTCTTTAATCCCGATGCCATCTCCTAACAATGAAAAGTTGAAACTGACGTGAGCAGTGAACCAAATACCTGACTACTAATACAGGAATTTCAGTAGATAAAATTACATGCAGCTGAGTACGAAATTCTGTGGAAGATATTCGAGACTCTTCCACATCCTGTTCTAACTTCATTAATATGTCACCGTGAAATACAGAGACATTTGGGACTGCATAAACGCATCTCAGCATGTTCTTCACAACCACGCAGCAGCTGTAGTATGTATCTCCAGATTTGACCTTAAATCAAGGGATAGAAGTCAGATATTGATAATAACAAGGATACTTTGCATGGAACATACACCAGATGAGCATTTAAGCAACAAAGTACGGCATGAATTTGCCAAAACCTGTGCACCAGAATGATATAGAAAAGCATATCCCAGGTCCTAAAGTCTATTCAAGGCTAGGTTATTTAAGCATCACTTTTTAAGACTAAAAGGTTTATAAATACTGCATAGACTAGTGACACTGAAACATGCTTCTAGAATAAGTCAATGAAGTACAGAGGATCCTAACCAGCCTAAGGTTCTGTATGGCAGAGGAAATTAGAAAATTAGTAGAAATTGAGAGATAAGAAAGCATAAAAAAGAAATCAGTATGCCAAAAGTACCTTCCCAAAGAGATAAAGATTGCCAGCATTGGCACCATAAAACTCCTCGTGAGCATCCAGTATGTAGAAAGGCAGTGACCCATCAGAATTCAATTCAAAATCTGATTTGTCTTCATTATTCAGACTCTGATTAACTCCAGAGCCATTGGAACTCACAGCTTCATTTCCTGCAGTTTTCACTGCCTGCCACCCGGCAGTTGCACTTAATGCTGAATCTGTCTCTTCTTTAATCTTTGCATTGAGAGTAAAAACCCTCTCGTCCAACTTCACCTCTTGCTGCTCTTTCACTTCGAATCCATTCAACAAGCCCTCCCCATCCCCATTACCTGAAGAATCTCCCAGTCCTGCAACTAATTTATCATCTTTCAATTCAACAATTCCTTCATTTTCCTTTCCATTTTCCAGCATCACATTTTTTTCCTCATCCACGTGGCTTTTCTGCAAATTATTCACCAAAAACTCACTATTCGAATTCCTAAATCCATTGTCCTCGTGCCTAACACTCGAATCAACACAATCATTAACGGCCTTGTCAAATTTAACGGACATAAAATTAGAATTAAGAGGAACAGAACTTATTGAATTTGACAATAAACGGGAGGTTGCCTTCTTCCTCCTCTCCCTATCAGCCTCATCAGGCGCAAATTCAGCAATAACATCATCTACGATACTCTCGCACGACAAAGTGTTCTTCCCCTTATTATCATCCCTATTTTTCTTAAACACTGAAGACGTAAACATATTCGATATCCTCTGCTTGCCCATCAACGCCGCAGCAGCAGAGAGAGCCGAGGGTTTTTTCGTCGATTGCTGCTCCTTCTCCGCAGTAGTGTTACTTTTGTTATTTTTCTTTCTCTTCGGGCGCTCCAATTCCCCGTCCGACTCTTCCGAAGAGAGAGGAACACCAGCGCGAGACCAATCCTCTTCTTGACCTTCGTCAACGTACCCTAGGCCGTCGTCATCGACGATGAAATCTTTGGCTTCCTCACGACGTGTGGCGACGAGTTCCTTGTACTCTTCCTCATCGACGGTGTCGTAGATGGGATCTTCCATTTTGATGTTAAACGTGGCGCCGCCCTCGGTGGGTCGACGGCAGCCGCTGCGGAGAGCTTTGAGACGCTGGAGCGCGTCCGCACGCGCCGTGGCCTGAGCTCCCCTGCTCCTTCTCCTTCCAGCAACCCTAGGCTCCTCGTCCGACATTTCTCTTCTTCCTTGCCCTAGATCACGCCCCTACAGTTTTTCCCGGACTTCTGGATCTCCGCCTGGGAATCTGGGAAAAATGGGATCTGTGGTTAGTGCTAACCAGTTCTTCATCAGTATAAAAAAAATGGCGGGAAATCTGCGTTTGGCGCCAAAATACGAGTGTTTTCTTTTACTTTCACAATCTTCCAATTCAATTAAGGTACTCCTATTTTATTTGTTCATTTTTTGTAGGACCAGGGTGGACTGGCCCACGTTACTGACCACCTTAGCTGATCCTGTAAGAGAGTAGAATTACTATATGCTAGTCGTATTCCTCAAAGTTGAAGTCGGCACTACGCTGCAAACGAATCACATCGAATCGAATTTTGACATAAGCGAGTCGAGTATTAATTTAATTTTATTGAGCTCGAACTCGACGAATTAATAATTTTGAAGCTCGAGCTCTCTTTCGCTTCAAAAAATAAAAAAAAAATATTTTTAAAAAAACAAAAATAAAATAATATATTTCTTCATAAAATAATAAAATATTAAAAATATATATAATTTTACTATTAAAATAAAAAATAAAAAAAATTATATTATATATATATATATACTCGAGCTCGCGAGTCGAGTTTAATATTTTGAACTCGAGTTCGACTCAATCAGCTCAAGTTTGACCCGAGCTCGATATTGATCGAATTTGATTCAAATCGCTCGCAAGCGGTTGAATTCGTTTGCAACCCTAGTTGACACGTAACAAGAATCTTATTAATGGAATATCAGACCATCATCTAATTAATGAAATATCAAACCATTATCTTATCTCTTGGAATGTTTTGATGTACTATGATTATTTGATTGCTTCTATTAAAAAAAATAGATTGATTCTGGAATCTATATAGCCAAACAAGTTGACATAAATTTCCGAATGTGTTCATGCTGTCGAGAGAAAGTGAAATGAAGAAGGAAGTAAATCGCCTAATGGTCAAATCATTATGATGGAAAGGAACGCATGTGACGGGAAATAAAAAAAAAAAGAAGCATATTGGTAGATGAACTTTTCCTACGGATTTGAATTGCATAGTGCTTAATTTTGTTTCAGGCCAAAAATCGTTCTCATTAAAGAAAGATTGAGATGACAATTTGTAAATTGGAAACTACACGGAGTCGTTTCGTTGTCCATAATTCATAACTTAAAAATGGTAAATTCCAAAGAAAACCAACCAAGGCGTTTGATCTGATCATACAACTAGCAAAATGCAACAGGGGGAAAGCTTTGGGTTACTGCTACTCTTTAGAAACGGGAAAAAGCCTGTGAAGGTGTTTTAGAGAAGAACAACATCAAAAGCCTTAATATGCAAAACTTGAGACCAGCCTTCACCTATTGAAGTCAAAAAGAGATTCCTGACTTAAAAGGGATTATTATGCTCCTGAACTAATTGATCCTGATTCCTCATTCATTCCTGTGTTACGGGGGCGTCTGCTTCGATGGAGATCCCTGATAATAATAAGTTCCTGTGGTTTGTCATTAGCACTATGCCAGAGTGCAATAAATATCTTTTTATTTAAAGAAAAGTTTGTCGTCTCAACATGGTAGAAAGTAGAAACTGCAAAGAATGAAATGTATAAAGTAACAATTAGAGCATCCAGGAGCGAGGGAAGTCGAATTGCCCAATGGAGAGCAATGCCAAGCAAGTAAAAAAGAATACGGGCAATTCATATCCATTCATGAATGAATACAAATACAAGTCGAGATCACGATACAAATCATTTACTCATGAACCACAAAATCTATCAAAAAATTGCCGTTAGTTTCTTCCTTGTACAACAGTACTCTCTTGTGATGAATTCCTCGCGCGCGTCTGAACGCTGAGATTCCCATCTTATAGCCTCAGCAAGAGAATTACAGTGATCATTTGCCCAATCAACCAAAGGAGGTGGACTTGACGACTTATATGAGAGTTGTTGCCTGGACTTTCTGATGGACCTGTGCTGGTGGACGTCAACTGTGCCGGTGGCGGAGGAGAGAGTACTGGCACGTCACACGTTGCATTTGCCTGCTCATGTTTGAAATCCAGTTAGCAACTACGCCATCGCAATCAAATGGCCATCACATTAAAATTTGATGGCTAGGAGATATCCTTTCTACTAACTTGACTACATGCAAGGGAAAAAGACAATAATAGTTTCATTCCGTATCATCAGAAGAAACTCGTGAGAGAAAGGGATCAAAATTAATACTCAGGTGATAAAATCGGTCATTGTGACTGCCATAGCTGATGGTTCAATATGATTTTTTGTTTATGGGCATCATCCCTTAATAATTTACAAAAAATGCACTCTTTCGAATGTAATTTAAGATCAATGCACGATACTTCTCGTCTAAATGATACTCGTATTATCATAATGACTGGCTAACCCTCCTATATTCCATATGACCTAGAAAAAATTCTTTCTTAATTTTCCAGAAAATGTAAGGGGTTCAAAGAAACTTGGGCCGGAGGAACTGGAGAACTTGAGTAAATGGGAACAATTTTGGGGGTTGGAGACTTAGTCAAGAATTTGATTAACTGCAACACTCAAACGAACCTTGCAATATGCAATACTGTCACAACCACAGGTCAAATGACCGTTTGCTTCATCAACGGCTTCTGGGGCACCTCCACCATCACTCCTCTGTACCAACAAGCAAATGATTCAAGCAAAACCCCCAGAGTCCTTTTGATCAATAAAATCGTCTAACTATACGTTATCATCTTTAGGAAAGAGAAAATAGCATGTGAAGCATATAAATTTGATTGCTACCTGGTAAAAATCAACAGCGATGAAATTCGGCCATCTATTTCCAGCTGCTTTGTAACAGGTTCGTGTCATACTAACCAATGGAGCAGAATTGTTAGCACAAGCTTCTGCTATATTAATATTCGGATTAGTGGGAAAGAAATTCTCAAGAACCAGTGAGATTGTTTTTGTGTCCATAGGAGATGATTCTGAACGACTAGGACAGGATCCATTTATCATCCCACCATCACCATCTGCAGTTTAACCATAGTATGCAAGTGATCATCAATCCTAGCACAGTCAGTCTCTATCATTCATGGAGGAATATAGAAAGGTTGATTCAAAATAGCATACTAAACAACTTTTCAAACTGGTAAAAGGGAAGAAAGCAAACATCTTGAGGACCCAAATTAGGGATGCAAAGAGCCAAGGAATCAATTGTCAATTTTCTCGAGGAGAAGAAAATTGCACAGCCTAGTTACATGGCTAAGCTAGTACTAGAATGTTTGCATTGCCAAAAGGCATAAGCTTCTTTTCATTTTTGAATCAAGACTTTTGTCTTCTGAGGCATCTCAAAAATGATCAAAATCAGTGTGAATGTAAAGACTCACATTGGTTCTCAACCACATATTTCCACTCATAAGCGATCCCCTCGGTAGCTTCTTTAGATGAAATGGATGTAAAAACCACAAGACGCTGATTCTGCTGGACCATATCATCAACTGTAGGCCAGTCTTGACCACCTTTAGGCATTCGAGACACTGGGAACCAGTATTTGCTGAGGCCAGATGCATTGAAAACCTTTGTCAAACCCTGTGGAGAATGTACATAGTCCTCAATGAAGATGGTAACAATTTCAGTTGGATTTTCTTCAAGAAACACTTGAATTTCCTTCAGCACATTGATGGCAGGTTGCTGGAAGGGTAAAAAAAACATTCGTCAAACAAGACCTGCTATTAGAACAATTGAAATATGTATGAAGCATGACTGGACGATATAGCAATGCACTTGAAAGGCACAAGCGCACTTACAAATGCAGTAAAATTGTAGCATTTTCCACCAAACGAGTGACACAACCAGATGTCATTGTTGAAGTCATACATGTCAAGCATAAGACCTCGAACTCCATTCTGCAAAAACGGATATTTCTCAGAATATGCATTTGCTTGTGCCCTCAAGAATTGATCAACTTTGAACCAAAAACTTCACTGGCAAAATTGTTGGTTCAAATCACAAATTATTAGCATAGTTTGAACAACTACTTGAAAAGTGTGAAACTTCCGTTATTTGACTTAACTAGGAAAAGGGAGATTGAAGGAAAGACATCGATATGAAGGAGTTTCAAAGGACCTTAAATAATGGCAGGCTCAGTACTTGGAGAAAAGCTTGTGAATTGAGGCGAAAAAAGTCTCTGTTGAAGTTGTAAACGGGGCACTAGTTGGACACTTCACCAGCTATAGATTATTACCGGCATGTGCAAAAAATAAATACAGAAAACATGTCCCAAGTAGTCCTTATTAGTTATTAGTCTCTAACCTATCACTAGATGAATAAATATAGGAAACTCAGGAGAATTTGACGGCAAGGAAATCGGATCATAATTAGCTATATGATCAACATAATGGTTGATTTGGGAAAAGTCTAATCACCTAATCACAGCACAATTGCTGTGGACAGCATTCAGGTGGGTTAGGTGAGATGGGGATGCTTATTTTAGATCCAAGCAAAGAGGAATGGCAATTATTGCAAAGAAAACCCCTAACACCTGTTCCTTCAAAGCGCGAGAAGCTAGCTAAAACAAGTACTATAATTCATCAAGCAAACTTCCTTTTTGTTTAAAATGATTTCAGGACAAAGATACAACATCAGGTACGGGTGACAAACCTGTTCAGTACGTCAACGTTTAGCTGCCACACCAGCCAAACTTTAAAGTAACTATCTTCAAACAAAAAAAAAAAAATCTCCTTGTTGAAAAAAAAAAAGAATAAAGGAAAAAAAGTCCAGCCCACCTCTATTTGAAAAGCTGTTAATAAAGTCAAGATGCTCCGGCGGGTCTAAACCAGATTTCTCAGGCGAAGCGCAGAGTAATAAGGTGGTATAATCTTGCTTACCTGAAGCTGATTGGTGACGGTATCTTCCTGATTGGTGGGCGCCAAAATAACAGAGCCTGTTGCCGACTTGGACCCGGACAAAGCATATGAATTGTGGGTCGTTAGCCATGAATACCGATTGAACGGCAAACCTTTCACCTATTTCCGTTCAACCCAATAAGCAACAGTCAACATATATGTACTATGAATAAAGAACCAGGCAAAATTGAAAAATCCATTCAAGCATTCAGGTTACGTGGATAGATAGACAAGTAA